AAGTTGTGTGTCCTCTGTGAGTTTTTTAAATTCTTCCTCTTTTTCGTGGGGTCGGGTCTCGGGGGCATCAGTCTAAACAGGGACTCCCAGGCTTCCTTCACCCCAGACACTTCCTCCAGCTCCTCCAGTGGGACCTGAGGTGTTCCCAGTCCAGTCCAGAGACATCGTCCCTCCAGTGTGTCCTGGGTCTTCCCTCCTCCCGGTGCCCAGTCTGGCGCCACCTACTGCCTCCACTCAGTTTAATTTCTCTCCAGCGACTAGATCAGGAATCAGAATACACTAGAACAGGGGTGGGCAAACTATGGCCCGGGGGCCATATGTGGCCCTTTAAACCTTTTAATCCGGCCCGCCGAACTGGAATAAATTACAATAATAAACCTTGTTAATGTTTTATTTTTCCTGCATTTCCGGCGTTTCCCAGTAGATGGCGCACTATACATACACTGAGGAGCGGCGTATTATGTTGGCTGCAATGCTTTATGGGAAAGTGTTCTTACACGACCATGAGTGAAGTAGAAGTGTTCAAGATAAAACACTGCACTGTTTCCAATGAGAGTTGGTAAAAATCTAAGACAGTAACTATGTAGACGTGGTGTTATGAGTCTTAAAACTTGGAATGTCGTAGGAGTTTTGTTGTATTCCACGTGTAGGAGAGTAAACACATGACTTTGTTCTGTTTCTCAGTAGAAACTAACCGCTCACGATTCACCTTCACCTGTGGTTTACAGTGGAGCACATCTGTTCATTTTTCATGTGTTCAGAAACTTTCACAACAGTGTCGCAGTGTGTAGTTCACTTCCTACATGAGCGTAAATACGAATATAATGAAGCCGAGCTCTTAACACGTCATGTCCTGTGTTCTGTCCGGCCCTTCAGGCAAATTTTAGGACCCTATGTGGCCCGCGAGCCAAAGTTTGCCCACCCCTGCACTAGATGGTTCACAAAAACGCCGGAAGTTGTAGAGCGCGAATCGACCAATCAAACGGGTGGCGTCTGTCTGCGTCCCTTTTGTGTTTCAGCACAACAGTAAACAAAGTGTCCAGATGGATGTGGACAAAGACAGACAGTCTGTGTTGGCGACGATTCCCCAGATCCCAGAGGATTTAAAGTCGGAACAATTTGATCTCGGGGAAAGATGTTATTGTTCTTCTTCCTATGGGATTTGGAGCTTTACAAACGTCACGACCAAACAGCAGCGACTGGTTCAATAAAAAAAGTCCCCGCCTCCTGTCGAGCGAACGAATCCAAATGCTGCGATTTCACAGGGTTTCTACAAAGTGAAACCGGCTAATGAATCAGACTTTCTCCCAGTAGGACAGGCCCAGACCAGTGGAGTTAAGTAGAGTTTTATTTTATATTTCTTTTGGACGTGTTTCTATTTGTTTTGTGCAGCACTTTGGAAACTGTTTTGTTTTGGAAATGTGTCGCAGAAATAAAGAAGTGGACAGGAGAGTGAAGCTGTGTGGAGTTTAAAAACACAGTGGAGCACTTCCTGTATGACCACATGATGACATCACAAGGTGGAACTGAGTCTAAATGTGTGAACTTTGTGCGTTAAACCTGATGAAGAACCGACATTAGAACACGAGAAGTTTAAACACCACAAAAAAAAAAACTGTAATCAGGGTCAGTTGTAACTTGTGTGTGTGTGTCAGTTGTAGTTTTCATTGTGTGTGTGGTCAGTAGTTTTCCACTTGTGTGTGTGTGTGTGTCAGGGTCAGTTGTAGTTTTCCACTTGTGTGTGTGTCAGTTGTAGTTTTCAACTTGTGTGTGTCAGGGTCAGTTGTAGTTTTCCACTTGTGTGTGTCAGGGTCAGTTGTAGTTTTCCACTTGTGTGTGTGTCAGTGTCGGGGTCAGTTGTAGTTTTCCACTTGTGTGTGTGTGTGTCAGGGTCAGTTGTAGTTTTCCACTTGTGTGTGTCAGGTTCTGTGTTCACCAGGTTTTCCACTTGACTTTTCTGTTTGTGCTGATGAAGGAAACACACACACAGAGAGAGAGAGAGAGAGAGAGGAGTCAGCACCACGGACAGAGACACACACACACAGAAACACACACACATTTACTTCCTGAATCCGGGCAAGTTCCTCTCCCCCGTGAGGAGCGTTTGGACCAATCAGAGCGAGAGCGGCTCAGAGTGGCTCTTACAAAGTTAAATTTTAGATCAGGAGAGTCAAACTCATTTTGTTCCGGGGTCGTGTCCAACCGACTCTGATCCCAAAGTGTCCGGATCAGAAAACTCATGTCATATAAACCCCAAAAATAACAATAAGTTCAAATATTTGTGCAGAGAAACACAAATCTATTACAGAAATCTTTTTTAATTGATGAACTCTTTCTTTTACAAAATATTATAATATTATGAACAACCTGAAACTTTAAGAAAAATACAATTTCAACACAAAGTTTTAACATGAACTTGTCTGTAAACAGGAATAAGTCCATTTTTGTTGTAAAATCCTGCACTCGGCTCCACTTTTCTCATGTTGGACATTTTTCTGATGAGGGTGTCACGGTCAACAGTCAAAACGATCGTCCTTTAAGAGCGTTTGGAAAGAGACAAGTCTTCATTTGTGCTGCTCTGGTGGGAGGGGCCACGTACAGAGACGCTGGAGACGCTGCTGTGATAAACACCACAGAAAATTAACAATATTTTAATAGAAAATATCATTAAAATATTTGAGTAGAAAATCAGCCGAGGGCCAGATTAAAGGTCTTGGAGGGCCGGATCTGGCCCCCGGGCCGTATGTTTGACACCTGTGTTTTAGGTGTTTTGAGGATTTAAACATTTAAAAAAGTTTAAGTTGTAAAATAGAAAAGAATCCTACAAAATCTGACCTTGGTGAAAGCCGGATGCCCTGTCAGAACATGGGTAGTTGTGCTTCTGTGGGAGAATTCTGTCTGAGCCCAAACTCCCAGAGCTGCAGAACCTGGAGCGTCCACTAGTCTGTGACAGAGGGGGCGGGGCCTGTCCAGTTTTATAGATTTGTGCTTTTTATAAGGGCTATTACAACCAAAGTGGTCAGCCGGTTGTTTTAGAGGTTTTGCTCATGAGTCCTGACGACCACAGCGACTCAAACAGCAGCAGCAGCAGCAGCAGCAGCAGCAGCAGCAGCAGCAGCAGCAGCAGCAGCAGCAGCAGCAGCAGCAGCAGCAGCTTTGACTTTCATCATCAGTGTCTAAAAATAACTCTTTTAGTGACAAGTCATTATTTGTAGTTTTGTGTTTGTAATGGTTGTATAATAATTACACAGACGACAACAGCACTGAAGACTGAGGTGGATAAAAAAAGTGCAGGAAAAGAACAAAACTGTGAAGAAACAAACTGACCACAAATATCCCTGTTGGTACAGTCCAAAGTTCAAATATTATTCAACTCTGTAGATCTAGAATCTGTGTGTCATTCGTTCATTTGTTTTTCAATATAAAACCAAAAATAAGAAAACGAAATAACAACTGTTTTATTCGTTATTTGTCTCCAAAACCAAAATGAAAAAACTGATAATGATTCGTTTTTTCAGTTTTCGATTTTGTGTTTAAATGAAAAATGGAAAAAACGGATAACGACCGTTTCCCGTTTACGTGACGTCCGTGAGTGCGATGCCGGACTGAACCAGGACTGATCCAGGTCCGAGACAGACCGGGACCAGACCGGGACCAGACCGGGACCAGACCGGGACCAGACCGGGACCAGACCGGGACAAGACCGGGACCAGACCAGGACCAGACCGGAACCAGACCGGGAGACAAATAATGAAGAAAACAGTTGTTTTCGTTTTCTTATTTTTGGTTTTATATTGAAAAACGAATGAACGAACGATACGCGGATTGTCGAAGTCTCTAATTTGACTCCCTGTACCATCTGAGACTTATTTTTAACAAATTGAATTTATCGTTTCAATTTTGGGCAAACCAAAATCACAAAAAATCTGATATTTTTAATCAAAATCACTATATTTAATGCTTTAACTTTCTTAAAATCCCTGCAAAATCCTTTTACTTTTTACTCTTAAAATACATTTATACAGTGTTCGTTCACACTAATCTGATCGGAACGATCTGGTGCCTCCAGCTCCACGAGTTCATGTCGGTCCAGATCTGATCCAGCACCATGTGGACTCCTGAAAACTCTGATACCCTGATGTAGGAGCTCGAGTCTCGTCCTTATTGGACACGTCTCTGTGACTCGCTCCTTCTGATTCGCTGGGTCTGTGACATCGTCATGTGACGCTATTGCGGAAAACTGTTTAAACAAACCAGAGACAAACAGAAACGACGTATCTGGACGCAAATCATTTCCAATATGATGATTCGTTTCAGTGTAAACATAAACATAACCTTAAAAAACACTTTTTTGCTCAGCTCTGCCCCTCTCGCTCTGATTGGTCAAAGCGATCACATGATACACGAGACTGCGCTCCTCACCGGCTGAAGGAGAATCTGGAGTCATGAGACATTGAGCTCAGCCCATTGACTTGAATGGACATCCATTTTTAGACCCCAGAGCTCATGAGACTTTCTCTTTCTCTCTCTTCATCCTGTGTGTCTCTGCATTGAGCTGTTACACTGACAGCGCCCCCTGCAGGTCTGGAGCTCTTCAATTGTGGTGACGTTTTATGTTTGCAGGTGTTTTCTTCATTTTCAACATTTTGTGTTTTGTCATTTCTCTATTTGCGGCGGATCTGATGATGACACATTCGTCTCTGTTTCTTATGGCGTGTTTTTTTTTTTTTTTCATTTGCTTTTTTTCTTTGTTTGTTCCTCATTTAAAGTTGTGTTTGAGTTTGTGAATTTGCATCGTTTCTGTACCTGAAGCTGTTTTCTCGAACTGAATTGAACCCCGGTGTCTGCACTTTGACTTAAGTAACAAAACTCTGAACTTCATCCACCACTGTCTATTCTGATACCTGCCGTTTTGTTTTGCAGGATTCAAAATGTCTGCTGTGGCTGTCTCCTTCGTCTTCCTGTGCCTCTCCTCTTCTTCTTCTTCTTCTTCTTCTTCTTCCTCCTCCTCGTGTCCTCGTCCCTGCTCCTGTTTGGACCGACAATCCAGACACGTCGTCGAGTGTTCCTTCAAGGACCTCACGGAAATCCCGCGCTTTCTACCGCCGAACGCCTCCACCGTGAGCCTCTCCGCCAACCACATCGCCTCCGTCCCCGCGCGCAGCTTCAGGAACGCCGAGCTCGTCGCCTCCCTGTGGATGACCGGGAACAGGATCCTTTACGTCGAAAACGGAGCGATTTCAAACCTCGTCTACTTACGAAACTTGGATTTAAGCCACAATAAGTTAACCGACTTTCCTTGGACCGATCTCCAAAATCTTACGTCTTTACAACTTCTAAAACTGGACCATAACGAACTGGAAAACCTCCCGCAGAACGCTTTTTCAAATCTTAAAGAACTCAACTCTCTTCGGCTCAATAATAATAAGTTTGCGACGATTTTTAAAGGGACGTTTGACGGTTTAGTCGCGCTGACGTTTCTACAACTTCACAGCAACCCGTTTTCATGCGACTGTTACATGTACTGGCTCAAATACTGGATTTTGGACGATAAAATCAAGATTCCAGATCGTGATTTGATCGTTTGCGCGTCGCCGGACGAGCTAAAAGGCGAAGAACTTTTAAATTTATCCGATTTGAACTGCCAGCGCCCGATTGTGACGATAAATATTGAAAACGAGGATGAAAACGAGAGGTTCTACGAGGGAGGTTTGCTGGTTTTGACTTGCGAGTACAGCGGCAGCCCCGAGCCGACCGCGAAGTGGAGAATCAACAGCAGGAAAGAGTTGGCGCTGAAGCTAACGGAGAACGACTCGGCCGAAATGCTGGACAACTCGTTAAAAGTTTACAAAAACGGGACGCTCGTGATTTCGAATCTCAAGAAGGAAGACAGCGGCGTTTACAGCTGTTCCGCCGCCAACGAAGCCGGTTGGGATGAAAAATCGGTCGTAATCGAGGTTTTAGCGGAAGAGGAGCTAACGACGGCTAACGGCGCTAAAGCGACGCAGCCAACGGTCAAAACAACGCCGTCTAGTTCCGATTTTAACTCCGGAGAAACGACCGAAAGCCGCTCAAAAACATTAAACAAAGCCATGAGCAGATGCAGCTTGTCTCCCGATACGAAATACGTCTCGGGTTTTGTTTCCAACGCCAGTTTCGACGACGTGAAGCAGTACTCGTTCGATTTTGGCGTCTTAGCGTTAGCGGTGACGGAAACGGAAGCTATCGTGAGGCTAAACTCTTTGCTAAAGCCGCGAGATCAGATCGAAACGAGTGCGGAAGAGGATTTGAACGGGATTCTTTTGTGCCTCAGCTCGGATCAGAACGCGGTGCAGTGGACGCATTTAAAAGACGGAATCAGCACGTATTACTTCGCGAATTTGCGTCGCAGTACGAACTATTCCCTCTGCTTAATGCTAAAAGGCGAAGAGTGCGACGTCCAAGTCCATTTCACGACCAAAAAACGCATCCCGAACTTGATCATAATCATTTCCGTGAGCATCTGCCTGCTCACGGTGTCCACGGTTCCGTTACTGGGAGCGACGTGTTACCATTTAGTTTACAAATATCGGAATCAGACGTACCGGATGTATCTGAAGGCCAGGGGGCAGTACAGAGCGGAGAAGGCGACGTTCCGCGCGCAAACGGAGTCGGAGAAGGACCTGAGCGAGGGACTGGCGGAGGACGAGGTGACGGACAGCGGCGAGAAGGACACGGAGGAGAGCATCCTGGCCGACTCCACGTCCGTGGATAAACTGACGAACGAGTGCGAAGTGGAGTCGGAGTACAGCGACCGCCTGCCCCTCGGAGCGGAGGCCGACAACATCACGGAGTAAACGCGTCGCTCAATGCCGCGCTGTGTAACTTTTCTGGTGAGGGCTCGTTAAAGGCGAGGTCATTTACGACACGCCTCTGTTTAGACGTGTCGGTTTTTCAACACTTTTTAGTACAGCATCACAAATTTCGGACTTCTGGTCACTGCGCATCAAAACTCCATGTTTGTTTTCCCAGTGGGACGTGTCTATTGCCAAAGTTGATCTTTTCAAGTCTTTTGAACCATTTCACTTTTGTTTCTGGTTCTGATATTGTCATATTTTAGTTTTGGGATTCGGACGTCGTAATTGTTGTGGTTGTTGGATCCAAACAGTGGAAAACGACTCGAGAAATGTGTTTGTGAACTTCATAAATGCAAAAGTGAATCAGATGTGTGTGACTCAAACCTCTGTTCAAACTGTTTCTCTTCCCAACGGAATTGAAAAATAGTGAAAGGTGAAGGTGATGGGCAGGATTGATCCACAGGAAGAACCAAAAAGGAAACATTTGTCTGACTAAGAAATCATCCCGAGTTTACAGAGAACATTTTGTACGTGGAGCCACGACAAAACAAAAAATCCCGTTTGTTAATGTAGAGGAGCAGAAGACAAACAGACTGAGCTGCACTTTCTTGTTCTTGTGGTTTTACAGAAACATCACGTCTTGGTCTTTGCAGTGGAAGGTGTTTCTTGGTGAACAGTTGGAGACTTTCACTTTGGTGTCGACTTTTTAAATTCATAACTGAGGTTGAGCGAAGGATCGGGATTTTGTTTTGTCGTCGCTCCACATACAAAATGTTCTCTGTAAACTCAGGATGATTTCTTAGTCAGACAAATGTTTCCTTTTTGTTTCTTCCTGTGGATCAATCCTGCCCATCACCTTCACCTTTCACTATTTTTCAATTCCGTTGGGAAGAGAAACAGTTTGAACGGAGGTTTGAGTCACACACATCTGATTCACTTTTGCATTTATGGAGTTCACAAACTTCCGAAGCCCGTTTCTCAAGTCGTTTAGGCAGTCAAAGGTTTCCTTTTTGGTCCTTCCTGTGTGCCAGCACTGCCCATCGCGAAAAAAAACAAAGAGATACGTATGTGTGTGTGTTTGTGTTAATATGTATGTATGTACATATTTCTCTCTCCTCCCTTCACTCCTGCCATAACTGTGAACTGGACTTTGCATTGATGAAACAACAAACCCATCTGCACTTCATACTGTTTATACCTCTGATGTTTTGTCTTGTTGTTATGTTTCACTTCACCTTTCACTATTTTTCAATTCCGTTGGGAAGAGAAACAGTTTGAACAGAGGTTTGAGTCACACACATCTGATTCACTTTTGCATTTATGAAGTTCACAAACACATTTCTGGAGTCGTTTTCCGCTTTTTGGATCCAACAACCACAACAATTACGATGTCCGAATCCCAAAACTAAAATATGACAATATCAGAACCAGAAACAAAATTGATATGGTTCAAAAGACTTGAAAAGATCAACTTTGTCAATAGAAACATCCCACTGGGAAAACAAACATGGAGGTTTGATGATCACTTTTTCAGAGGATCTTTCCCAGTGTGAATTGAGCAATGACCAGAAGTCTGAAATTCGTGATGCATGTGTTACAACGCGTCATTTTATTTATTCATTTATTTATTTTTTGAGAGTCACAATAGTCTACCGAAGCACATTTCTCACATAATTTTTTTACAAATATAATTAGCCGATGTAAGACAGACATCTTTAGGTCTAAACATTTGCCCACAGTCTGGTTTCCCGTCTGTCAGTCTAATCGACCTGTTTCACAACGATTCTCATGCGACTGTTACATGTACTGGCTGAAGTACTGGATTTTAGACGATAAAATCAACATTCCAGATCATAATTTGATCGTTTGCGCGTCTCCGGACGAGTTAAAAGGCAAAATACTTTTAAATTTATCCGATTCGTATTGCCAGTGCCCGATTGTGACGATAAATATTGAAATCGAAGATCAAAACACAACGGCCGTAGAACCGTGATGTCGGGTAAACGTCACTCCCCGTTAGTGGTTTTCTGTGGCAAAATATCTCTGGAAATGTCTCGTATTTTCCAGCAGCTTCATAAATCTGCCCCAATCCATGTGTCGTTCGTTCATTCAAAATAAACCAAAAATAAGAAAATGAAAAAACAACAGTTTTCTTCATTATTTGTCTCCAAAACCAAAATGAAAAAACAGATAAAGATTTGTTTTTTCAGTTTTTAATTTTGTGTTTAAATGAAAAATGGAAAAAAACGGATAACAACCGTTTCCTGTTTACGTGACTTCAGTGACTGTGATGTCGGACTGAACCAGGACTGATCCAGGACCGGGCCCAGACTGGGACCAGACCGGGACTGAGACCGGGACTGAGACTGAGACCGGGACCAGACAAGGCCGGGACCGAGACCAGACCGGAACTGAGACTGGAACCAGACCGGAGGCTTGGAGCCAACGGCCGGAGCGCGAAGCTGAGGCTTGGACCCCGCGGAGGCTCAGAGTCAAAGCTCGGAGTCCACCCTGGTCCCACTCTGGTCCCAGTCTGGTCCCGGTCTGGTCCCGGTCTGGTCCCGGTCTGGTCCCACTCTGGTCCCGGTCTGGTCCCACTCTGGTCCCGGTCTGGTCCCACTCTGGTCCCGGTCTGGTCCCGGTCTGGTCCCGGTCTGGTCCACTCTGGTCCCGGTCTGGTCCCGGTCTGGTCCCGGTCTGGTCCCGGTCTGGTCCACTCTGGTCCCGGTCTGGTCCCGGTCTGGTCCCGGTCTGGTCCCGGTCTGGTCCCGGTCTGGTCCGGTCTGGTCCGGTCTGGTCCCTGGTCCCGTCTGGTCCCAGTCTGGTCCGGTCTGGTCTGGTCCCGGTCTGGTCCGGTCTGGTCCGGTCTGGTTCGGTCTGGTCCCAGTCTGGTCCCGGTCTGGTCCCGGTCTGGTCCGGTCTGGTCCCGGACCTGGATCAGTCCTGGTTCAGTCACGTAAACAGGAAAAGGCCGTTATCCGTTTTTTCCATTTCTCATTTAAACACAAAATCGAAAACTGAAAAAAAACAAATCATTATCTGTTTTTTCATTTTGGTTTTGGAGACAAATAATGAAGAAAACTGTTGTTTTTTGTTTTCATTTTCTTATTTTTGGTTTTACATTGAAAAACAAATGAACGAACGACTTTGCCCCAAATCTTCAACCAACAAACTCCACAAAGGAGAAACATTCTTCATGAAGAATTTATCCACAAATATCGAGAGAAGAAAGACGAAAACTTAAAGGAAACAACGAGCCACATTAGTGAACTACTGAGCAAAACTAACGTTAGGATCATGAATAAAACTTTTAGACTTTTAATAAAGTTTATTTTTCAAACGTTTTTGAGAAAAATTATCGGGAAATAGGAAAGTGTTTTGAGCAAAAAAAATGGAACTGAACAAATGCTGCATAGATTATTATTATTTTACGTTATAAACTGTGAAACATTCCAGACAAAGCGACGTTATCGCCATGGAGACGAGCAGGTTCTGAGCCGACACCAGAAAAGTTACACAAACCGAACACGTTTAGACAAACTCTGACTCACGACAACAACACACTTCTGTAATAAACTATTTAATCAAAACACAAATAGTTACACAATGAACAATAATAATAAAAATTAGGTTTTAAGATATAAGCTGTTTTATTGCCTCTGTGGTCGTCTGTGATCACGATCCAAAGAGTTTATCTGTGGCCTTTAGCGTAGTGCAGCTATACATGCTAACCTCTACTCGCTAACTTCTACTCGCTAACTCTGCTAGCTAACTTCTGCTCGCTAACTTCTACTCGCTGACGCCGCATTCTGTTGAGCGTCGGTAATCGATAAATCCGAGTCAGTTTTCCCGACATCTGTTGTAAATTCATTCCATTGCAACAGTTGGGAAAATATGGAGCCCGAGAAAGTTTAATGTAACGTCAGGAATCGCTAACTCCTGCTAATAAATAGAGTCTGTTAGCCGACGTTCGCTGTCGACGACTCAATTATGTCAATGTGGCGACGTTCAGATGCACCTGAAGTGACCCAGATCTGATTTTTTGTCTCTATGTTCCTGTATCTGATCTTTTAATGACGATTTTTTTAAATGTGACCCAGGACCAGTGTTGTGAAGTTTACTTTTAAAATGTAATCCCCTACAGATTACAGATTACATACACCAAAATGTAGTTTGTAATGGAATCCATTAAATTACTTAAAGTGAGTAACGTAATCTGAATTCTTTGGATTACTTTGTTTACTGTAGGGAAGCAACGACCAGGAAATCGTAACATCAGAAGTTTTGTCTGATAAAAGAAAATAAAAGCCCAGATTTTACTGAACCAAATTAAAAATATTATTGACAGAAGAAGAAGAAACACAGTCCATGCAGCCTGTTTTAGTCCTGTTTAGACCTGGTTTAGTCCTGGTTTTAGTCCTGGTTTAGACCTGGTTTAGTCCTGGTTTAGTCCTGGTTTAGACCTGGTTTAGACCTGGTTTTAGTCCTGGTTTAGACCTGGTTTAGACCAGTTTTAGTCCTGGTTTAGACCTGATTTAGACCTGGTTTAGTCCTGGTTTTAGTCCTGGTTTAGACCTGTTTAGACCTGGTTTAGACCAGATTTAGTCCTGGTTTAGAACCTGGTTTAGTCCTGGTTTAGACCTGATGTAGACCTGGTTTAGTCCTGGTTTTAGTCCTGGTTTAGAACTGGTTTAGTCCTGGTTTAGACCTGATGTAGACCTGGTTTAGTCCTGGTTTAGTCCTGGTTTAGACCTGGTTTAGACCAGTTTTAGTCCTGGTTTAGAACTGGTTTAGTCCTGGTTTAGACCTGATTTAGACCTGGTTTAGTCCTGGTTTAGTCCTGGTTTAGACCTGTGTTAGACCTGATTTAGACCTGATTTAGTCCTGTTTTAGACCTGATTTAGACCTGATGTAGACCTGGTTTAGACCTGATGTAGTCCTGGTTTAGTCCTGGTTTAGACCTGGTTTAGCCCAAAATGTGAAAACAGGAAAATCCCTCT